TAAATTATAGATAAAATTTACGTTCTTTCTATTGTTTAATTATCATTCTTGTACGATCTCTACCTTGTTCATTCAATCTCGTAGAATAGATTATTTTTTGTATAAACATTGTACAGTGTATACTCGATATTTTTGTAATTCTCCGCAAGTTTGAGACCTTTTCTCCCATTCCATATATGTTGCACGTCGAACCCTTTGCCATGGACATCATCGCTTGACCTTCATCGTCTGTTATCACTTTGAGCTTCACCATCACCAACATCGCGACGAGCATAGTTCTTGAGTTGATGCAGTCTGACCAAGAGCAGATTCCATCTTGGTGCAACGTGATTCGTTCAATTCTCACATGGGTCGCCCAATCACCGACGCTCCGATCCGTCAGGATTCAGGCGTATCTGGTCTGTTTTTGTTCATCTTCGATGCTACAAAGATTCTAGATGACAATGTTAATGCTCTGTATAGACTAGATTGCGGTGAGATTGACCTGACAAATCAATCCAACGCTTCGGCATCACTCGCTCACATATCATATGAGTATATCGCTTAAACGAAATGAGCATAGACAAATGAGGGTTTGAGTACATTAGCAATTTCAAATGACGTTTTTTGAACTTTTTGATACTCATTTTGTGAGTTATGTATGCTCATTTCGTACTGACATTATATTCTTTTTAAAATGTCATATACATTCATAATTCAAAAGTATCATATTACATTATATTCACGTATTAGAATTCATATGAGTTAATTATTGATATAATTTAGGCAATTTTACAAAAGAAAAAAAAAACTGATAACTTGAAAGTGAATTAGAAGACATGGCAGAAGAGGTCACGATACTCAATTGCAGGTTTTTAATACTCAATAGGTGAAGCTTAATACTTTATGAAAATGAATTGATACTCAACTAGTAGAACTTACAATTTTCATATCAAAGCACATTTTAGAAATTGAATATTAAATAAGATTCTCACATTGGAATTCATAATAGTTGATTATAGACATTGTTGAGTATGTGGTTCTGTTGATGACTAACCATGCAGGTGGAATGGTGGATAGAAACGCTCACAATTCCTTAAGGAACAAAGGACAGAACCATTCTTAGGTCCAAATGGACATCATTATTGTGTTGATGACTAACCTTGCAGGTTGAACAAATACAGAACCATTTCTCGTTCCGTGGAATTGTTTGAATTAATATGATTGCATCTACTTGATTTTCAATTAATGTACTTTCCTTATATGAGTGCTTATACTTTGTCAAGAATATTATTTAAGCGAAAAATATCTTTCTATGCATGATCATTCTAAATGTACGTAACTTGAGTTACTTATTCTCTTTCAATGCATGACTAGACATACACACATTAATATAGCTTAATACTTTATGGAAAGGATCCTTACTTGCTATAATGTGATTGCATGACTTAATATGTGATGATTTAATTATGGTTTGTTGCATACTTATAAATGTTAAGTGAATAAATTAGTTCCTTCAATCTACGATGGTGACTATTCATGTGCAATCACCTTTGATTAATTTATGATCCATATATATATGAGTTCGTTGCCTTAAAAGATATATCTCTCAAGAAGGAAGGATATTCAAATGATAACAAGGCAAGTTCCATGTTTGACAACTCGACCATCTAAGGAAAGAAAACATCAACGAACTTGCTCCAAGCATCTTATATATGCCAAGATCAAGGACAAGAAAGTGTGCTTGACCGAGATGGATATTGAGAGACATACTCACCAAAGAAACACCAAAGTTCAAGGCACCTAAAATTGCTCACATAGAGTTCTAGATGTAGTTTCTACTCTTCTTTCTTCTCGTTGTAATGGGGTTTTGAGGATTGGCTAACTGTAGCATCCTCGGGTTGGTTAGTGTGTGGTGAGAGCTTTGTTGTAAAGCTAAGAATCTCTCTACTCGCAAGGTAGAGAAACATAACTCTTCCTAGAGAGGATAGAGTTGGGGTGACTCAATGGTATACTAGGAGAGTTTCTATTGTAATTATTCAAAGATTTTTAATCCCTTTGAGCTAAGGAATTTTTCCTCCGAGAGAGGTCGAGATTTTTTAAACGCTTTGAGCTAAGGAATTTTTCCTCATTAAATCCTTGTGCACTTATTTACTTTGCTTCATCCTATACCCCACACTAGAACTTGGCGAAAAACTGTCAAGGTTTTACTCACACACAATTCACTCTCCCTCTTGTGTTACTAACCATTTCACCAGATATAATTTAATAATTTTTATGAAAGAATAAATAAGAAAAATAAAGTGAATTAAGATATATGAAGCAAATATCATGGAACTTTATTAAATGAACATTATTGTTCATTTAGGGGAATCTAAAAAAATAGTTTGTGAAGTACATACTCTCATTTGACTGTGAAGTTTGATATTACTTAAAATATTTATTATACACACACACACATGAAAGTTCATGTCCGGCCAGGCCGGCTAGGACCTCCGTCCGGACACCTCAATTTGGGGTGGTTCCCGGTGGTATTTTTTCCTGAAAATATTTGTGTATGTTCCACATCAAGTCTAATTCATCCATATCAAATCTCAGCAAAAAATTCAATCGGGAAGATAGTCAAATGATTTTTTCATGATAAATTCGTTTTATATGTATATTCCGGATCAGTTATCATGCAAAAATCATTTGCCGATCTTCTTGAATGATTTGTTTTCTGAAATTTGGTATGGATGAACTACACTTGATGAGGAACATACACAAAAAATTTCAGTAACAAATACCAGCGGGAACCACCTCAAATTGAGGTGGTCGGAGGAGCCTCCTGTCCGTTCTGGCCGGACAGGAATGTTTATATATATATATATATATATATATATATATATATATATATATATATATATATATATATATATATATATATATATATATATATATAGAATAAGGATCAAATGAGAAGAGTGCTTATCGTAAGAAGTGAGAATGCATCTGGTGCGTTCATTTTAAGATATGTGCATCAGATTATAAAAAAAGTGCACAGGAAAGTGCAAAAAATATTAAAAAGGTGATGCTAGATGTGGTGACATTTCCGTAATTAATCGGAACTTTTCTGCCATCACAAAAAGTGCATCAGAATTGCAAAAAAGTGCATCAGAAATAAGTAAATGTGTATCTTCTCACTTCTCACGTTAAGATGTCTTCTCATTAGAACCCGACCCTATATATATATATGGGAGGGTTCTAGTGAGAACCCTCTTAAAATGAGAGCCCAAATTTTAAGGTGAGAATCCTTGGTATTTTTGGCTGAATTTTTTTGTATATTCCTCATCAAGTCTAGTTCATCCATAACAAATTTGAGCAAAAAATTCAATCGGGAAGGTCGACAAATGATTTTTGAAAGAAAACTGCGTTTTATATGTATATTTCGGACCAGCTTTCTTTCAAAAATCTTTTGACGACCTTCCCAATTGATTTTTTTGCTCAAATTTGATATGAATGAACTAGACTTGATGAGGAACATACACAAAAAATTTCAATAAAAAATATCACCGGTTCTCACCTTAAAATTTGAGTTCTCATTTTAAGAGGGGTTCTCACTAGAACCTTCATATATATATATATATAGTAATATTCATGTGCGGCCGGCCTCAATAGAGGGGCCGTCCGACCGACGGCGTTTGGCCGTATTCCCGGTGGAACTTTTTGTTGAATTTTTTATGGCATGTTCTTCATCAAGTCTAGTTTATCCACAAAAGAATTCAGCAAAAAACTCAATCCGAAAGGTTTCAAATGATTTTTGAAGTTGACTGCGTTTTGTGTGTGTAAATTTGCACAATTAACTTCAAAAATCATTTGAAGACCTTCCTGATTGAGATTTTAGCTGATTTTTTGTGTGGATAAACTAGACTTGATGAAGAACATGCCATAAAAATTTTATCAAAAAATTCCACCGAGAAGACGGCCAAATGCCGTCGGCCGGACAGCCTTTCTGGTGCGGCCGGACGCACCAGAAAACTACTATATATATAGTAATATTGTCGTCATTATTATGAACAAAAAGTATAATATATATATATATATATATATATATAGGAAAAATTGATCGTAATATATATATATATATATATATATATATATATATATAGAAAAAATTGATCGTAATATATATATATATATATATATATATATATTTTCCTATATATATATATATATAGGAAAATTTGATCGTAATATATATATATATATATATATATATATATATATATAGGAAAAATTGATCGTAATATTATTGTCATTATTATGAACAAAAAGTATAATAGTAATGGTAATGAATAGTTAGTGCCCTCACAAAATCACTAAATATTGCTCTCTAATTTAGAATTGAAATTATATTAAACAACCTGACGAAAATTCATTGCATTTGATACCTTTATTCATTTTATGGAACTTTTTATGTAATATGGTAACACAAGAAAACGATCAAAATTATTACGGAGTAAAACATTTCATTATGTATACCAACTAACAATTTGTCCCCTACATAAGTCATCTCAAATTAGGTTGGACATTTATGAGCAAAAATAAATGAAAAATGTTTGGTGTACATCAAATGTGTACACCTTTTGTGTACACATGTCTGTAGAGTTGTCTGTGGACAGATAATTTATCTGGTGGTGACAGACATGTGTACACAAAAGGTGTACTTCAATCAAAGTTGAAAATAAATTAAAAAAACAATAAATGAATCGTAAGTACTTAGCGACGATGATATCCTAGAATTCAACTTATGCACCACTATTCGAAAGGCAGATTTAAGTGAGAATCTCTAAATTTGGACATAAACCTTTTAATCTTTTATATTTAATCTTTTATTGTGTACAATAAAACTATAGAAAAGAAAAGAACAAACAGTAAAAACTAAAAGGAATAAAAAAAAAAGAATTCGAAAACCAGCGTTGGGCCACGTTGACTGCCGCTAATATTCGACCGTTGCAAACAAATAAAATGCAAAAATATTATCCAAAACTAAAAATAAAATACTCCATAACTAAGAATTTAAATACACCCCTCTCTCTCACTCCAATTTTCAAATCCAAAGAAATCAGGAATTGCTGTCTTTGCTTCTCCCCTTCCGTCTTCCTCCCCGACAGCAAAATTAACCCTAGAAATGGCGATCGCAGCTGAGACGCAGTCGGAGCAGCAACATCAACCCAAGGTACAACACTTACCCCCGCCCCCGCCCCCTGTAAAGTTCTATTAGAATGTATACCTTGAATGTTGCACACTCACTAGATTTAAGGGATTTTTGAGAACTCCGGAAATTCACGTCGGCTTGCTCTAGAAGTTAAGGTTTATAGTGTCATCTCATCTGTTATCACTTAACTCTACTATAGATGTCTTTAAAACTCTGCATTACACGATAGGGATTTCGTATACCTGTCTTTGTCGTCCTTGGAAGTATGCGTTGCCTGTGAGTACGGAATAATGGACCATATCTATGAACGCGTTCATGGTTGAACCTTCTGTTTTGGGGATTGTTTTTGTGTTAGAGATGTCTAAAAAGTAAATGAAATACTCGTAATTGAATGAATTTTACATGAAATTGGCCAGACCAGAATGGATGCTAAGGAATTATGGGACATAATTTCTTAAACTGTACTCTTGGGCCAACTAAAGGCACAAGCTTTGAATTTATTTTGGTACTGTTAGTTGATTGCATAGAGTACTGATTGGCTATGTCTACAGGCTCCACCTGAAGGCACAGGCGAGGAGAAACAGAGGTGGACTCTCAGTGATTTTGACATAGGAAAGCCTCTTGGGAGAGGAAAATTTGGTCACGTGTATTTAGCTAGGGAGAAGAGGGTAAAGTGGCACTTTTACATGTCGAATATATTGCCTTAATAGTCTTTCAAATGTGATATGTGATGACATTTCTCTGAGGTTGAACCATCAACTTTATTAACACGAATTCCTCGATCTTCTTATAGTTTGGTAGAAGCTCATTATGCATTATAAGGAGTATATGGCTATTTAATAGGGGTTGGCCTATCCCTAAAACTTCCTTACCTATATTGGAAAGTAGAAGTGAATTTGAACTTGAGTAGTTGAATGTCTTTAGTTCTTCTGATCTCTATATAGTTTGTTTGAAAACCTCTGCTCTATCGAAGCTTGTTAGCTACTGTCAATCACCATAACAATGGATTACTTTTTACTGCAGAGCAATCACATTGTGGCACTAAAAGTTCTGTTCAAGACCCAACTAAAACAATCTCAGGTTGAGCACCAACTTCGCCGTGAAGTTGAGATACAAAGTCACCTTAGGCATTCAAATATACTGAGACTCTATGGCTACTTTTATGATCAGGTAATTTCTGTCCTTTCCTGTTATGAGTGGCACTATTGTGTTTTATTTGACTCTGTGAAGGCCGATAAATTTTCATATATTATAAATGCAGAAACGAGTGTATTTGATACTGGAGCATGCAGCTAAGGGTGAACTTTACAAGGAATTGCAAAAATGCAAATATTTTAGTGAAAGGCGTGCTGCTACTGTGAGTGCTTATTATCATACTGTTATTACTTTATAACATGAACATTGATTAATTATTTAAAAGTTCATATTTTTCTTCTTAATACCTGTGACAGTATGTTGCATCGTTAGCTAGAGCCCTCATATACTTGCATGGAAAACATGTTATACACAGAGATATCAAACCAGAGAATCTTTTAGTTGGTGCTCAGGTTAGTTACAAATTATCTCTAATTTTCTTGCAAACTTTGCCATGTTTTTTCAAACAATAATTCTAATAAACTAATCTGATCATTTCTTTAAAATATCAGGGTGAACTTAAAATTGCTGATTTTGGTTGGTCTGTGCACACATTCAATCGCAGACGGACGATGTGTGGCACTCTGGATTATTTACCGCCTGAGATGGGTAAGTGTGCTGGTGTTTCAAAAGCTTATGTAGCCTCCTGCATAAAATAATTAGGGTTTCACGATTAAATAATATCATTCAAACTTATTTACAGTGGAGAGCGTTGAGCATGATGCAAATGTTGACATTTGGAGCCTTGGTGTCCTCTGCTATGAGTTCTTGTATGGGGTGCCTCCTTTTGAAGCAAAGGAACACTCAGACACTTACAGAAGGTAATTCAAAAGAAATGAACAGTAATCAAGAAGAAAAAATGGATGTAAAAGTGCTTCATCTGTTAGTTTGAATGAGTAACTCCTTTCAAATGCATCTTGAACCAGAGAGTAATTATCATACACCCGAGTGTAAAACCGTATGTGACCCAACGACACAAATGGTCGCACTACATTTAAAGGCCATAGGAGCCCAATTTTGGGAACTTCTCAATCAATTAATTTGCATCCAAAGATCCTAAGACTGCAATCACTCTCTACATGCACAGTCAGATTGCAGTACTTGTTTTAGACAAAGCAAAATTTGTCAGTACATATGAAATGAATTCCATGTATATGAAATGAATTTCATGGTTTTGTTGGTAAACGTTATACTTTGTACTTGCAAAGTATATTACAATGTTGTATTCTAACCTTTGCTAATTTTGAAGAGAAGTATATTTACACTAATTGCGAACCATGTAATGTGTATTAATTTAATGACTTCAATCCCCTTTCTTTACAAAAAAATAGTAGCTGGTAAACCTGAAAGATCTACTTGATTCAAAGTGATGATGCACACTGACAGTCTCACAATTAAGTTACAATCACACAAAATATAAGGCCTTTTTAGGAACTCTTCTTTTCATTATTTTTTGAATATGATCACACTTCTATGATAGTATCTGTGCTCTTAATGAACTTTTCAAGAATAAGTTAGATAGTATTTTGGCATTTCTCACATCAATCATCACATGACAAATGCACCGATATCCAACTTGAAGAAGAGATTTGATTTTAGGAGAATAAGAGCCAGCTGTGAGTTCACAAAGGATTACAAAGGATTCATGTTTACACCTCCTGTTTGGATCAATTTCATTGGACAAGTGATTGCATGAACTCTCTTGGTTGAGACACAAATCTTGCAACGTGGAAAAACTTGAGTGCATGATAAAATTATTTACTAGGAAAAAGAGCTATATAGTATCCCTGCTGGCAATTCACTTTGTCTTGTTTCTGTGTTATTGGGCGTGCAGGATAGTGCAAGTTGATCTGAAATTCCCTCCGAAGCCCATAGTCTCCTCTGCTGCAAAAGACATGATTAGTCAGGTTAAACTTCTTACTACTATTTTATTTAGTGGCCTATGACATTTTCTTGTGAATAAGCTAAATGCTGCTTATAAGGTTATAAGCAGAATAGATGTCATGCTCTTGTAGCCTAACATTGTTATCTGACTTGGACGTATGAAGATATATGGTCTTCATATTTATATTTCTGTCGTTATTATATCCTATACAATTATTTTTAGTCTTATATTTCTTGATTGTAGTGTAACATCTGGTATTAGTTTGGTTTATGATTAATTATTCTGATTTTGTGTTTTTCATTTGGTCTGGAAATAAGAAAAAGTAATAAAGTGAAGAAAAAGAATTAAGTGCCTCATTTCTACTTCCTGCTTATCTAGTCCCGCTATCACTAGAGGAGACATGATTGATTGAAAATTATTGGATAAACAGATGCTAGTAAAGGATAGTTCGAAGCGCCTGCCTCTGATCAAGGTACTTGAGCATCCATGGATCGTCCAAAATGCGGAGCCTTCTGGAGTTTTTAAGGGTTAATCGACCCCTTACTTATATCACTTAAAGGCCAAGTCTGTATACTTACGTCTCAAAATCAGTGTTGTGTATCAAGTGGAAGTAAATATGTTCTATTAAAACAATCATTCTATTTTACATTTCACATTTCATTTGTTGATCTCTAGTTACTATCAATTTGTTGAAATTAGATATTCATAACACAGTGAACAATGGGTCCTTATTTGTTATGATTCACAGCATTGTGTTGTTTTTACAAAAAAGGTGGTTACATTTTTTAGACTATGACTACGTTACTTCATGCCGTTCATGGGAAGGATCCCTTGGATGCTGAGCGTGTTAGAACAACTTTTCGTTCTCTATTGCATATTTACATGCCTATCATACCAAAATGAAGTCATAAAATGTATAAAAAATTGTTTTGTCAGCCTGCACAAGTTTAAGAGTTAAGACCAAGTAATAATGTGGATGGTGGCATACATAAGACCAAGTAAAATGTAGTTTCAACAGAATAATTCAAACATGAACAAATGATCAAATAATGATTTGAATCGATCAAATGCAACACTTTATTTGATTTACTACCAAAACAAACCTGGCCAGGCACCCTATTAGCATTTAATATTTGGTAGCAGTTCATGTCAATTGTCATACTTCCAGTACTGGTCATTAAAGAAGATTCAACAAAGAATCTTTTAAAAAAATACCCACTCCCTCCCAAACTAATTGGAAAGTGATAGGAAAATTAAAGGTTCTGGTTGGTGAAGATTGAAAGTATATGAGCCACAAATATTTTTCAAAAAGTAAACAAGAAGACTAATTTGGAACTATCTGCAAAGAAAAACAAGGCAATTATGTGTTGTTCTACACTCGCTAGAGTAGTGTAACATACTCAAAGTATATGTACACAATCATGATTTCGAATTCGTATATTTGTTTACGTCAACCAAGTCAGTTTAAGAAATGCTTCAATGAATTTCACAAAAATACGTAGTAGCTTTGAAGCGTGGTTGTCTCAACCACTTCATTTATTTCATTTGTTTCTTGAAAGGCTATTAGGACATATTTTGTATCTTTTTATGAGTCTTTTTGTGCCATATCGTAATTTTGAATTATTATATTTGTTTACGTCAAACTCTTTGTCTTTCTTTACGTCAAACCATTTGGTAAAGCACATTTTTACGTTAAAAGTGTCAGCGGAGTTTGTTTATACGTAGTATGAAATATATGGATTGTAGAGATTCATTTCTCCCACTAGTTTTTTTTTTGTTTTTTTTTCTCTTACTATGTTAGGATTAGAAAGGGTATGGGTTTTGGACTGACAAAGTCACATTTCCTTCATATTTATACAAAACATTTTTATGACCGTTCAAATATGAATGCACTAGCAAAACTAATAATCTAGAACCAAATTGGAATTTTGAAGTACTACTTTATTCTAGGGACGTTTAACTTTGTAAAAACCTATGGCAATGACAATTACAAAGGGATGTGTCCGTTTAGAAGTTAAAAATGGTGGGAGGGTAGATGATTCAAATATATATGTAGTATAACATAGATACACACTTTTTGGCGTACACTTTTAAACGGTGGGAGGGATGTGTAGGCTTTGTTGTTACGAAAACACGTCTTTTCTGTACAGACAAAATAACCTACACAAACAGTGTGTAAAAGTGTGTACACCAAAAAGTGTGTACCCCAAGTCTGTTCTGATCTAGTCTGGTCTGGTTTGAATTGGTCTGATCTGATAATGTTTGGTCTCTTTGTATTTTTATAACTATCCAAGTTTGGTCTAGTCTTGTCTGAACTGATTTTGTCTGGTCTGGTTTGGGACTGAAAGCAATCCAAATAAAAACATATGTATTCTCTCACATGTAATCTATATTTATTTATACTATACCCAAACAAGAATATCAGGTTAAGCAGTGTCCCATTAGCTATGATGTCCGACCAACAAAAAATTGATCGTTTTAGATATGGCTGACCAAATATTTCAAAATCACCATAATTTTTTTATAGTTCAAAATCACCATAGTTTGAATGCCAAATTGCTCCAAACTTCTATTTCTATTATTTTTCATTATATGACATGGATTTTAATAACCATCACCGTGGTCGCAATTAAATAAATTAAATCATATTATTACATGATTATAACATTAATTTCATTTAGACTAATAACGATACTACTCAAATCATATATATATCAAGAATGATTAGACCAGCAATTTTTCATGCCAGTGAGTCGTTTCCCACATAATCATTACTGTTGAATGGTTTACTATACCACTCAGTGGACTCTCAGTCATAGGAAATCATTACAATGTATTTTCTTTGCATGTTTAACTGTAATTTCTAAGACTATGCAAAATTAGAAACACACTCCCTAATGCTCTCTATTTTAGTAATCAAACAAGAAAAATAAAAAACAAGTGTTGAACCTCCACATAGCAACTGACCATTAGCATCTGAGGCACCTAAACACATCAATGAATTTCAAAAGATTTCCTGCATGACTTATTCCACCAGAGATCAATATATAGTTGCCATTAGAGAGAGGGTAGGGTATGCACTTTTATTTCAGTCATGCTGAGGTGGGTGAGTCTTCATTTACCTGTCTTCATAGGCTCAACACTATTCTCTCCATCAAACACCTCATTGTGAGCTTCATCAACCAAGTCCGGGTGCAAGAAGCTCGGCTGATTCGTGGACGAAAGAAGTCGGGCCCACATCCGGTCAGTAATCACAACATGGTTCTGCTGCTCCGTGATGCGCTGCACAACATGGTTAGACCACGGTTTATACCATTGGCAAATCATTAAGAAGATTGTTGTCTTAAAAGTTGATGAGGGATATCCCAAGGGTCAAATGCATAAATGGTACCTTAACTATGATATCGTTGCGTTTTGGTACCTTAACTCTTAATAATAATGCTTAGGGTGATGCCTACTTACATTGAATGGGATGTAAGTCTGGTGACCATTGACTAGCCCACAAGTGAAGCCCGTATAGCCAGCCATTGCTCCATGGACGGCACTTTGAGAGAGCAATGAGCAATACACATTGTCAGAGGCATTACTAGGGATAGCACGAATCATATAGGTCGGATCTACAACAAAAACTTCACTTAATTACCTATAAACCTTCTGTTAATACCTCGATTGAAACAAGATAGTGTCTATGATATCCAACCTATATATTTAAGAGTGATAGGAAAGTTTTTCTGTTTAGCATGATCCTGCAAGAAGCACATAAAGGACACCATTAATACACAAAAAAACCATAAAAAAATTCCAACCAGAGCGTAGAGACAAAGGTGTGCGTGTGCAGAAAAGGAGCAGTTGGTACATTCTACAGTATGCACCCGAGGGCATTTGTTTTTTTTTTTTTGTGGAAAGTACTTTTCAAGGAAAGAAAATTCACTATCCATGGAATCCAAATCCTATAACTCGTGCATATCAAAATGGATTCCCTGATTTTAAGGCTTTGGTGCTTTCTATAGGGATATATTTTCACTCTCGAGTGGAACTTGATTCTCAACTCCTGCATGAGAATCACCGTCCCGGTCCACAAAGAAAACAGTCTCAGAGGCATTCTTACTTTCTTTGGTCAAATGAGATGCAAACAATTAAATCTGTTTCCTCAATTCCTCTTAATTACTTTCCACTGAAAACATACACTTTGTACAACTGTAGTTCACTTTGGTCATGCAAGGGAGTGAGTTCACTTTGGTCACTTTGTATATCACTTCCCGTTGCAAATAAAGCCTAGTGTATACATTGTCTATAAGACCTAAAGGGTCACGAAGGCATCCCCACAAGGCGAGGGTCCAAGGAAGTGTCCCACAAGGAGGGTGTGCAAGGGGCAAGCATTCCCCTGTCAAATTTTCCCATGACTTGACCCCATCGTCACCCCTTGGTCATATAACAACACCTTAACCGGTGCGTCAAGGCTCCCCTTCATTGTCTATAAGCTCTAGTGCACTATAAATTTGCAAAACAGAATAATTCAAGGTGCAACAAGAATTTCAAACATATAAACATGATAAGGATCTGTGTATATATGGTAACGTCAAGTACCTTGATTTTTTGGGAAAGCCATAAACCAACATCACGGAGAAGCTTGTTCCCTGAGGCATCCTTTCCAGTCTTGGAATTTGAGGTCTCCTCAGCAATGAGTTCCTGTCCGGCTCCTTCAGCTACCACAAGAACCATGTGTCCATTTTCTTTTAGTCGTTTCACGACGAACTCAAGAAGTCCACCGCTTCCTTCAAGGTAGAATGGTGATTCTGGGATCAAACAGCAGTCAACATCTCTGCTGGCCAGTGTAGCATACATGGCAATGAATCCTGGGAAAAAAATCTTAAACTTCATGTCATACTCAACTATATTTTCATACCAAAATCAGGTCAAGGAACCAGGGAAACTGGGACAACTTTCAGTTAGTATGCCACAGTTAAGGGTGATTTATGGGCTTCAGTGCTTCATGATCAACAAATATAATCCCTTTATTAAATTATAAAAGGTTTGGTCTCCTTTTTAGACTTCCAACAATATGTCCAGTTTCCATTTTTTAGATTATCCTGCAATAATATCCAAATCCTTCTTCAAAACCCACTACCTTTCCATCATTCACAGTTTACCCAGTTAAAAGTTGACATGTGCACTAATTTGCACAACTTTCTAAGATGTGTGCAAAGTACATCTATAATAAGAATATGAACTGGAGGGTGTTGGACAATGGATCATCTAATTTATTTCCTTAATATCCGCATAAAATACAATTGAGACACAAACAATGGGATGGTTCATAGAGTGATATTTAGACATGTAACTCTTTTGAGACAAGAGTGGGTATTCCGTATTCCACTGAAAATGGGGAAACATGTTTGTAAGTAATAAAGGTCCAAAATATGGCTAGTCTATCCAATGATAAGGTACAAAAGATTATAAAGTGCATCTAACCACTATAGCGACCCATTAGCTTTACCACACCAACGCCATTCTCAGCGCTTTCAGCTTCAACATGAGCCGCATTGATGGCACGTTGAGCCTCCTCTACAGCAGTATCAAAGCCAAATGATTTATCAATAACCTAATAAATACAGAACAATCAAAGGTAAGATCATGAGAAAAACATACGAAATAAGAACCCTTTGATTCTTTGAACATAACACCGCAAAAATACGTTAAAACTATAATATACTTGATTTATAATAGCTTGCAAGCTCTCTCACTTAAAATTATTCATATGATGGTGAACATGTACTAAACAAGTAATGCACACTTGTAATATAGTGATAAATA